GTGGCGCCGGCCAGCCCACTCCCGAGCGCGTCCTTCGCGCTCGGTGCACTTCAACCGCGTCTCCTGGACGCACCACAGCCCGGGCGAGCGCCGGCGGCCCTGCTCCTCCGTGAGGGCCACGTACCAATCCAAGGCTGCCTGGGCCGAGCTCCACGTGTTGGCGTTGACCCCAAATATGTGCAGGTCGGCAGCCGTCCGGCCTGCCGTCAGCCAAGGCATGCCCTCCTCACCTCTACGATCCGTCTCTGGCCGGCGAGGCCGGGACAGGAGGGGCGCGGAGCTCCGAGGAAACGTGTCCGGCTGCGGGGCACCTGAAACGCCCCCGGGGGCGCTGAGGGCGCTACCCCAGCGACTTCTTCTTGCTGATGGTCTTGGCGACCAGCTGCCCGGCCAGCCGCACGGCCGCCTTGGCCTTGGCTCGCCTGGCTGAGCGATCGCTGTCACCAGCAGCACCACCACCACCACCAGTGTCCAGCTCGTCCAAGACCGCGTCGAGGGCAGCCTGGTCCTCCCCATCAAGCATGTCGAGGTCTGGGAGTTCTGGATGGGCTTCAGCTCCTCCTCCTCCTCCTCCAGCTCCGGCGACACCTCCTCCAACTCCTCCCGATCCAGCGGCAGCGCCGGCTGTTCCAGCCGCTGGAGCAGCAAGTGCTGGCGCCGCGCCTGCGGGCGGGGCAAGGCCACCTGCTGCAGCTCCGCGTACCGCCTGCGACTGCTCCTGCGCGGTCTCCGTGGCGATGTCAGCCTTAGCAGCGGCCTCCAGGGCGTCCAATGCCGCCTTGTAGGGGCCGGCGGTGTCGCCAACCAGGAGCTTCCCAAGGTTCCCACACAGCTCGAGCGCCGCACGTGCCCGACAGCCCTGGGAAGCGCCCTCCTTGGGCATCGCCGAGGGCACCGCCGCCAGCACCAAGGAGTCGCGCTGCTTCTGCAACACAGCTTTCTCCTCGGCCGCCTTGGCGTGCTCGGCCTGGAGCGTGGCGACCTTCTCCATGGCCGCGGGGATGTCGGTGAGCTCCAGGCGCTCGACCACCTTCTGCTTGCGGTGCAGCTTCTCGTCGAGCTCCTTGAGCTGGACGTGGACTGGCTTGGCCGCCAGCCGAGCGGCCTGCAGGGCGCGGAGCTGCTCCCGCTTCTCCGCGCGGAGCTGCTCGACCCCGGTGCCCTCCATGCCGTCCAGGGCGTCGAGGTCGGCGCGAAGGCGGTCGGCCTTGGCCGACTCAGCTGCGCCAACGTGGTCCTCGCTCCCCGCCGCCACCCTCTTGTGAGCAGCCTGGGCATCCTTCTCGGCTTTGTCGAGGGCGGCCTCGCGCTTGCGGAGCTCGGCCTCCTTAGCCTTGAGGCCCTTCTCGCGCTGCTCATTGGCCGCCGGAGGCGCCCGCCGAGAGGGCTCCTTGGGCGCCACCTTCGCGAGGAAGCAGCTGCCCTTCCGGAGGCCGCACATGTTGCACTCCGTGCGGAAGGCCTTGTTGATGTGAGCACCAAGGCCAGCACCAAGGCCAGCACCAAGGCCAGCGCCTACGCCAGCAGCAACGCCAGCGCGCACGCCGGCACCAGCGTGGGCCCCACCGATGCCAGGACAGACGCCAGCTCAAAAACCGGCACCTACGCCAGTATCGACGCCAGCAATGACGCCAGCATCACCGCCGGCGCTTGCGCCGAGACCAGCGCTAGCGCCTACACCAGCACCGACGCCAGTACAGACGCATGCACGAACGGCACCGCCTGCACCGTCTCCAGCACCAGCGCCTACACCAGCACTGGCGCCAGCACCGACGCCAGCACCAAAGACGACGCCATCATTAACGCCTGCGCCCACGCCGGCACCAACGCCAGCACCTACACGGCCGACGTCAGCGACGACGCCAGCACAAACGACGGCGTTTCCACCGGTATCAAAGCCCAGCACCTCCACCAGCACCGACACCAGCACCGACGCCAGCACCAATGCCTGGTCCTCCGCCGGAACCGACGCCAGCTCCGACGTCCGCATCAATGCGTGCGCTTGCGCTGGCATCAACGCCTACGCCCACGCTGGCATCAGCACCGACGCCGGCGCCTACGCCTACGGCGGGTCTCATGAGCACCACGCCGGATAACGACCGCAGCACGACAGTTACCACGAGCAGCACGGCGGAGCACGCAACCAGCACGACGAGTATTCAATGAGCAGCACATCGGATACAACGAGCATGGCACGACGAGCATCACGCGCAGCACAACGACTACCACGAGCAGCGCATCGAGCACAAGGAGCTGCACGGCGGACACCACTGGCAACACGACGGATATCACGTGCAGCGCGCTCACTTCGACATCTCCGAGTCGATCCCTGGATTGGGGTTGTCTTATGGTGTGGTGGAAGGGCCACTCACAGGAGCCTCGTGATTCTGACCCTCGGCTGCACCTTCTGAGGCCAGCCGCAGATAGTAGTCTGGGCCCTTCCTTCCCCCTCCCCCCGCTCCCTCCTTTTTCCTCCCCGGCTGCTTTATTTTGTATGGTTTCTGAGGTACGCGTGCATGTGCCGGGCACTCCAAACGGGCGGGCCGCTGTTACTCAGCGAGCCTCCAGCGCCCGCCGGCTGGAGCCGCCTTAGAAGCTATTTTTGTGTCCTCTGTTTCGCCCCTTTCTTCTTTCCTCCCTCCTCCCTCCCTCCTCCCTCCCCTGGGCATCGTGGTGTCACTATGTCGGTGCCGGATGTGCCAGCCGTTCGGACGACGAGTCCACGCTGGGCACTCTCAGTGTCGTTTTGTGCGCGCGGGCCAGCGTTCCCCTCCTCTCCTCCTCGTCCTCCCGTTCTTCCTCCTGCTTCCTCCTCCTGGCGCAGGGGGGAAATTCGTTACCTTTCTTTGAAGTCGGCTTTAGGTGTGTGGCGGCATCCGCGTTTTGAAGCCTGCTCTTGTGGCTCGCGGCCCGCCCCAGCCGACTGTCGGACTTTAAGTGTTCGTGCTGGTGCACGGTGCTCAGGGTCAGATATATAACATCCGGCAGCTCAGGGTTGTGCTCGATAGGAGTTGGATTTCTGACCGAAGTGTCTTAGGAATTCAAGTGGTGCATCTCTGTCGCCTCCGGGGGGGAGGAATACGACCGGAGCCCGTTTGGGGTGACGTCAACCCGGCCGGCGTTTTTTTGATTTGGCTTATTTCGAGTTCGAGCCTTCATCCAATGGGTGCGGTGGGAAAAAATCCTCGCTGGAGCACCTCCCGTTCCTCAGGCCGCGCGGTTCGGAACTCATTGGCTCGACATGATGCAACGGTGAGCGTTAAGGTCCAGCTCCATGCGGGGCGCGCGTCGGAGTTTTCGCCGTTACCCGCGTTCCAAGGCAGGGGCGTTCACGTCCAGTTCCTCGATTGAGCACCTCCCGCTCCCTAGGCCGCGGGCTTCTGAGCTCGCTGGCCCGAGGAGGAGGACGACGGGGAGGAGGAGGGGGAGGAGGAGAAGGAGGAGGAGGAGGAGGACGACGACGAGGAGGAGGAGGAGGAGGAGAAGGCGGAGGAGGAGGAGGAGGAGGAGGAGGAAGCGGGGAAGGAGGAGGAGGATGAGGAGGAGGAGGGGGAGGAGGAGGAGGAGGAGGAGGGGGTGGAGGAGGAGGAAGGGAGGAGGTGGAGTGGGAGGAGGAGGAGGAGGAAGAGGAGGAAGAGGAAGAGGAGGAGGAGGAGGAGGAGGAGGAGGAGGAGGATGAGAGTAACCCCTTGCTCCCGATAAGAAAGTATACCCCTAAACCCCCCTGGGTACTGATTACTCTGTGTCAGTAGGATTTGATTGTGAGAGGGGCGGCGGGGCCGAAGTTAATCGTCCCCAGGGGAAGTTGCAAACCGAAGTTGCCATCATCTTATGCGACTCGCAACAGCATCAACAACGCTGAGCATGGCAATGGTGGTCTCACCATTTTAGCTTCCGCAGTCACGAGCGCGTGGCAGGGCCATGGGATTCTCACCACGGCGGTCGAGCCGAAGCACGCCACCTTCGAGGAGGCAAGCGCTGCCGCCCAGGCCTGCACCAAGTGCCTCCCGTGCAAGGGCGGTTCCAAAGGGCGCCGAGCCTGCATGGGCGAGTGGTTCGAGGTCGTGCGAAAGGGAGGTTTCTTGGCCAGGGGCGCCGAGGACCTCTTTCGCGGAGGCCATTTGTAGCCACGAAACTCGAGATCTGTCGAGCCAGTTTTGTGTCAAGATCTACAAAATCAGTCTACACGAGCGCCCAGACGCGAGATCTGTCGAGCCAGCTTCTTGCCAAGGTCTACAAGGTCAGTCTACACGATCGCCCAGACTCGAGATCTTCCGAGTCAGTTGTGCGCCAAGATTCACAATTTTAATACGCAAGAGCGCCCAGACTCGAGATCTGTCGAGCCAGTCTTGTGCCAAGATATACAAGGTCACTCTACACGAGCGCCCAGGATCATCATCGTCATCATCATCAGCATCCTCTGCCAGGGAAATCGTTGATCATTCCCGCCAGGCCCCGACTTTTAATATCCCCCGGGGGTTATTACCAGGGGCATCCAGTTAATGATGATGACGATGGTGATCATGATGACGGCGCTGGTGATCATGATGATGGCGATGCTGAGGGGGGGTGCACGCGCGGAGCCGAGTCGGACAGTGGTCACGTTACGGACCTAGTTCCTAGCCTGAACCCCTGGCGTTCCCAACGCGTCCTTCGGAGGCTGCGCATTCTGCGTGCGATATTGAAGCGGCGGGGGGGGGGGGGCCCGGACTGTCCTTGGTAGTTTGGCAGAAAAAGGCGGGAACGGAATCGCAAGAGCAAGTCGCTGCGGAACGCCGCTTGACAAGGGATTCGGCCGTCCCTTTCGGACCTCGTAGACTTAATTGGAACAAAGGGGTTCCGTTCCTTATCTATCGTGCCTTAGGTCAGGCGGGGCCTTGTAAAACAGAGGTCGGCACGCGAAGGTCGCAACGTCGCAGGGCCCGCCATGCCTCCCTCCGGGACCCTTGTGGTGTTTCGAGGGCGCCCGTCCGCCCTCCCCCCCCCCGAGCGTGTCCGAGGACGCCGAGTCGCCGCCCACCGCCGCCACGGCCTCCAGCTCCAAGGCCCTGCGCCTGGTGCCTGCCCACCTCCCCCCCCCCCCCCTTCCTCCGCCGTTCGGGAAGAGTGGCGGGAGGAACGGGGGGGCGGAAAAAGGAGGAGGAGGAGGAGGAGGAGGGGAGGAGGAGGAGGAGGAGGAGGAGGGGGAGGAGGGAGGAGGAGGAGGCGGAGGAGGAGGAGGAGGAGGAAAGAGGAAGGAGGAAGAGGAAGGGGTCGGCAGCTCCCAAGGAAGAGGAGGAGGAGGCGGAGAGGAGGGGGAGGTGGAGGAGGAGGAGGAGGAGAGGAGAAGGAGGAGGGGGAGGAGGGGGGGAGGAGGAAAGAGGTTCAGGAGGAGGAGAGCAAGGGGGGAGGGCGATGGTGAAGGGCCTGGAAGGGGAACGGGGAGGGGGGAGGGAGAGGAGGAGGAGAAGGCGGAATGGGGGGAAGTCGGAGGAGGAGGAGGAGGAGGAGGAGGAGGAGGAGGAAGGGTGCCTGGGCGTCGGCACAACTATTCGCCAGCGGCATGGCGCTACTCGTGCGCGTCTGCTGGCCCGTGGGAGGCGCCAGAGAAGAGTGACCAACGGGGAGGGGATAATGATAAGGCGCAGGGAGAGGATGTGGGAGGGGGGAGGAGGAGAAAAGAGGCGAAGGGGAGCTTGGAGCCTGTTTCTTTGAGTCTATCGGCACACAGCGTTGGACTTACATGGGTGGGCGGGGTATGTGAAGTGAATGTCTGCCTTGAGTGAGTTCATTGCGGCCATCCCGCTGCATGCGCGCACTTTTAGCCGAGGAGCGCTCTGTTCGGAGCGAGGCAAGCGTCCCTTGCTATACATATGGCGTCAATTTCAGGGGCATTGGGATGCAAGAGGGGGGTGAGACGGAGCGGGTGGGGAGCGAACAGCGGATGCGAGAAGCACACGTCAAAAGTCATGGGAGCAAGGTCTGAGTTCCCCAGTCCGCCTGCACCCTAAGGCCAGCCTTTCGCCTCCTCATCCTGCTCATCGTAGTGTGTTTCCTCCATGCTCCCACGTCCTCATCCCCTCCCTCCCCCGAGCCTCCCTCCTCACACCCGCGTCCTCTCCCCTCTCCTTCCCGCCAATCCCCCCTTACACTCCCGTCCTCCGTCCTCTGCTCCCCCTGGCTCCTCCTCCTCCTCCTCCTCCTCCTCCGCCTCCTCCTCCTCCTCCAAAACCACCGCCTCCTCCTCCTTTTCCTCCTCCTCCTTGCTCTCCCCCCCCCTCCTCCCTCCTCCTCCCTCCTCCTCCTCCTCCCTCCTCCTTCTTCTCCTCTTCCTCCTCCTCCTCCTCCTCTTCCTCCTCCGCCTCCTCCTCTTCCTTGGGAGCTGCCGACCCCTTTGTTCCTCTTCCTCCTCCTTCCTCTTTTCTCATCCTCTCTCCTCCTCCTCCTCCTCCTCGTCCTCCTCCTCCTTGTCCTCCTCCTCGTCCTCCTCCTCTCCTCGTCCTCCTCCTCCTCCTGCTCCTCCTTCCTCTTCTATCCCTTTCCCTTATAAACAACAGCTCCCTGTCTGATTCCGAGCACGGTCGAAAGGCTGGGCCGGTCGTTTCACTTGAGTTTTCTTCACAAGTTATAGCCCTGAACATTGTTTCTTTTGCAACCGCTTCACGGATGGAGGGTGGTTTTCAAAATGTGGTTGTCGCTGTCGTGCCGCGCACATATCTTACTCATTTGCAAGAGCTGCACGGATTGAGGGCGGGCCGCTTTCAAATTCTGGTTATCGCCTCAGCGCCGCGCACATTCGTTGCAAGTGTTTGCAAGCAAGAGCTTGTTTGCAAAACGTAGTAGCGCCGCGCACATTCTCTTTCGTCTTTTACAAGGGTCTAGAGGATGGAGGACGCTTCCTATTCAAAACGTGATTCTCGCCTTAGCGCCGCGCGCATTGTCTTAAGAGGTCGCAACAGTTCCACGGATGTGCGTGGCTAGCGTCCCAGAAATGGTGTTGTGGCACGATGTCGGAGTGTCAGGGCGCATTCGTCAAGTTGATCCGCGGTGTTGAACTCTCATGAATGGTGTTCTGGCGCGACTCAGGATCGCCAAGACGCATAAGTGACGGTGATTCGCGGCGTTGAAGTCCCAGGAATGGTTTTTGGCACAAGTCTGGATTCTCAAACGGTTGTCTTCCAACGGGGCATTCCCTTCAGTGGAAATGAACCTTTGTAGGGGCCTATGAAGAGGGAACTTCGGGGAGGGTGTATTGCAATATCCTTGACGGGTCTTGGATTTACACTGGTCCTCGTCCTCACCCTTGTCTCCTTTTCTTTCTTCTTCTCCTCGCTCGTGATCTCTTCGCCGTGTTCCTTATAAATGCTTCGTCCGCGTCCGCATTTGTTGTTGACGGCGCGAGGAGATCAGGGTCAACCTCCTGCCGTGGCAGGGGTCTGTTTTCCGCCCGGAATCAGTGTTTGACGGTCCAGCGGTGCGCAAGTCGGCCCCAGAGACCGAAATGCGGACAAAACGTCGGGACGTAAACGTTCAATCCGACCGCAGCCGGGTGTCCTTCTGGCCTCCCAGATGGAACCCGAGTACAGTCGGGGCCCTGAAGAAGGAACTCTTTTCGTTGGGGAGGGGCTCCGTGTTCCTTAAGTGTTTCACGGCTTGCCTCAGGTTGTCCTTATGTTTTCGATAGAAAATCAAGTTTAACATATGGAAAAAAGGGGCCTCGTTCCTTATTTAGGGTTTCTTAGGTCAACGCCCCGACTGTAGACCGGTTCCGAGGATCGCCTTGCACCGCCGATGCATCGGCGGTGCGGCTCGATGTTGACATTTGGTGTTTCCACGGCGACCCGGCGACGTCGCCAATGCGCCGCCGACGTGGCCGTTGCATCGCCCTTGCGTTGACGATGCGTCGACGCTGTGGCGTGATGTTCGGCCTTCCTGAGACCTGAGGTTGGGAGCAAAAGTGCAACATCGAGGAAAATCACAGCCAGGGCCCAGACACAATCTCTCTGCGGCGTATTTCGAGCCAGATCGATCTGTGATGGCCCCGTGGGCCGAATCCGGCTTAAAACGCCCGGAGTGAGAGGACTGCATCGACCAGATCTCGTGGCCCGTCCGCCAGGCCCCACTTCGGAGGGTTCCAGTCCCAGACATGCGATGTCCTCATCTGTTCAATGCGTGTTCCTGGAAGTCCCTGCCCTTTCCCCTGGTCCGGCGTTCCAGCTCGAGTCGCGGCTTGACGGCCCCAAGAGGCCGAAGATGGCGGCAATTTCCCCGCCGTGGTTTCTGCACAACGCGAGCACAGCACGACTCGGAGTGTCCCTGCGAGGCCACCCGCTTCGTGCCCACGCGGTTCGACTGCCTCGTGCACCGGCACGTGCAGGCGGGAGGGGCCCCACCGTCGTTCCAGCAGTGGCGAAGCGTCCCGGCATGCCTATACAGGCCCACCACACTAAATGTTCTAAGAATGTTTGTTGGGTTGCACGACGTGTTCCTGGAACATGTCTGGCTAAGGCTTCCACACTTCGGGATCACGTTTTAAGAACATCATTTGTGATCTCAGAGCGTTCTGCGGTTCTAATAGAGAGTTTTCGTTTGTCTGTTGTTGTAGCCGTCTGGGCCATGACGCGCGTCATACCCCCTTACCCGACCCCTCACACATAAGGTAACCTCCTCCCCCTCAGTGCGTCCCCGGGACGGCCGCAATGCGGAGTGCGTCTGGCACCACAGTCTGGGGGTGGCCCCTCCCGTCTCGCCCACCTCCCCCCCCCATAACGCCCACTGTGACCGCGAATAGAAAAATTAGCCTGACGAAGGACCCAACCATGTGCAGGTGTGAATACCGCAGTTGGCACTACCAATTTCGGTGGGGCTCCCTATAGGGCCAAGAAACGTGTGAAGGGGATGGGTGTGCGGGACGCATGCGGGCGGCAGCACTGGGGCCTTCGGTGGAGCTCCCTATGGGGCCACGAAACGTGTGAGGGAGTTGACGAAATGGGTGTGGCTGACGCATGCGGGCGCGGGCACTGGGGCCTTCGGTGGAGCTCCCTATGGGACCACGAAACGTGTGAGGGGTGTGCCGAAATGGGTGTGGCTGACGCATGCGGGCGCGGGCACTGGGGCCTTCGGTGGAGCTCCCTATGGCCCACGAAACGTGTGAGGGGTGTGCCGAAATGGGTGTGGTTGACGCATGCGGGCGCGGGCACTGGGGCCTTCGGTGGAGCTCCCTATGGAGCCACGAAACGTGTGAGGGGTGTGCCGAAATGGTGTGGGTGACGCATGCGGGCGCGGGCACTGGGGCCTTCGGTGGAGCTCCCTATGGGGCCACGAAACGTGTGAGGGGTGTGCCGAAATGGGTGTGGGTGACGCATGCGGGCGCGGGCACTGGGGCCTTCGGTGGAGCTCCCTATGGAGCCACGAAACGTGTGAGGGGTGTGCCGAAATGGGTGTGGGTGACGCATGCGGGGCGCGGGCATTGGGGCCTTCGGTGGAGCTCCCTATGGAGCACGAAACGGTGTGAGGGGTGTGCCGAACGTGAATGCGGGCGCGGGCACTGGGGTCGGAGTCCCTGGGGACGAAACGGAAATGGGTGGCTGGCGCATGCGGCGCGGGCACTGGGGCCTTCGGTGGAGCTCCCTATGGAGCCACGAAACGTGTGAGGGGTGTGCCGAAATGGGTGTGGTGACGCATGCGGGCGCGGGCACTGGGGCCTTCGGTGGAGCTCCCTATGGAGCCACGAAACGTGTGAGGGGTGTGCCGAAATGGGTGTGGCTGACGCATGCGGGCGCGGGCACTGGGGCCTTCGGTGGAGCTCCCTATGGAGCCACGAAACGTGTGAGGGGTGTGCCGAAATGGGTGTGGGTGACGCATGCGGGCGCGGGCACTGGGGCCTTCGGCGGAGCTCCCTATGGAGCCACGAAGCGTGTGAGGGGTGTGCCGAAATGGGTGTGGGTGACGCATGCGGGCGCGGGCACTGGGGCGTTCGGTGGAGCTCCCTATGGAGCCACGAAGCGTGTGAGGGGTGTGCCGAAAGGCTGACGTGCATGGGGCTTCGGTGGAATGCGTGTGGTGTGGCCGACGCATGCGGGCGCGGGCACTGAGGTCGGTGGAGCTCCCTATGGAGCCACGCGTGTGAGGGGTGTGCCGAAATGGGTGTGGGTGACGCATGCGGGCATGGGGCCCGCTATGGAGCCACGAAGCGTGTGAGGGGTGTGCCGAAATGGGTGTGGCTGACGCATGCGGGCGCGGGCACTGGGGCCTTCGGTGGAGCTCCCTATGGAGCCACGAAACGTGTGAGGGGTGTGCCGAAATGGGTGTGGCTGACGCATGCGGGCGCGGGCACTGGGGCCTTCGGTGGAGCTCCCTATGGAGCCACGAAACGTGTGAGGGGTGTGCCGAAATGGGTGTGGGTGACGCATGGCGGGGCGGCGGGCACTGGGGCCTTCGGTGGAGCTCCCTATGGAGCCACGAAACGCTGTGAGGGGTGTGGAGCCGAAATGGGTGTGGCTGACGCATGCGGGCGCGGGCACGGCTCCCTATGGACACTGGGGCCTTCGGTGGAGCTCCTATGGGGCCACGAAACGTGTGAGGGGTGTGCCGAAATGGGTGTGGGCTGACGCATGCGGGCGCGGGCACTGGGGCCTTCGGTGGAGCTCCCTATGGAGCCACGAAACGTGTGAGGGGTGTGCCGAAATGGGTGTGGCTGACGCATGCGGGCGCGGGCACGAGGGAGGAGGGGGAAGAGGAGGAGAGGAGAGGAGAGGAGAGGAACGCGGGGCACCGTCTCTTCAAAACGAGGACCCAACACCACAGGATGGTTGGGAAAAAGCGCTCTGAGAACATGTTGTGGTAGGCCAATCCCAGACCCCCGACGTCATGATTTTGTCATGACGTCGACCCCCAGAGATCTCGACCCATTCCCCGGGACCGGTTTTTCATCCCGAGTCGTTTTCTGACGCTCCCGAGGCCCAGTGAGGGCCCCCGGAGGCTGAAAATTCAGGAAAAACCTGCCGTCATGATTTTTTCATTGCTCGAGGGGACCCCGATAGGAATGCCGAGACGGTCGGTCCCTGCTCAAGTCGTCGGCCTCGGCGGCCGACGATGTGGCCCGTCGGGCGGCGATTGGGGGGACGCCGCGCCCGAGCTGAGGGCCACAGGCGGAGGAGCAGGGCAGGTCGCGCCGGAGGAGGAGGGGGGGAGGAGGGGAGCGGGAGCGGAGGAGGACGAAAAGAGAGGAGGAGGAGAGGAGGAGGAGGAGGAGGAGGCGGAGAAGGGAGAGGAGGAGGAGGAGGAGGAGGGGGATGAGAGGCGGAAGAAGGGAGGAGGAGGAGGAGGAGGAGGAGGAGGAGGAGGGGAGGAGGAGGAGGAGGAGGAGGAGGAGGTGGAGGGGGAGGAGGACGAGGACGAGGAGGAGCGGAGGAGGATGAGAGGCGGAGCAGGGAGATTGAGGAGGAGGAGGCGGAGGAGGAGGAGGAGGGGCACTTAGAAGGAGGAGGGGGAGGAGGACGACGACGACGACCAGTGCAAATCTAAGACGCACGCACGATGTTGCAATGAGCCATCCATCCAAGGTCCCTCTTCACAGGTTCCCAGGAGCATGTATTTTCATTGCGAGAAGTGCCCCATCAGAAGACAATTGCTTGGCCATCCTCAATCGTACCAAAACACCATTCCTAGGGCTTGACGCCACGAAGCAAAGTGACTGTTGTGTCCTGACAACGGTCATTCATGCAAGGATATTACTCCCGGGAGTTGAACGCCGCAAGTCAAAGTGACTGCTGCGTTCTGGCAGTTGTAAGTCGTGCTAGAACACCATTCCTGGGTCTTCAACCATACGAGTCCTTGAAGCTGTTGTAAGCTTGTGAAACGCATGTGCACGGCGTCGAGGCGAGAGCCACAAATTTCAACATGAGCCGTCTTCCATATTTGAAGCAGCTGAACGTTTAAGGCACATGTGCCCGGTGCGAATGCGAGAGCCACATATTGAAAACGACCCGCCCTTCGTCTGTTAACTTGTTACAAGCTTTCAGGACGAATTTGCGCGGCGCTAAAACGAAAACCACATTTTGCAAACGACCCGCCCTCCATTTTTCTCACTGGTGCAGATTTCAAGCTGCAGGATCTGTGGGGAAGTCTCAAGCAGAAGGCCCAGCCCGCCATACAGACATGTCTGGGGGTACGACAGAGAGGATTTATTCATAAGAGAAAGGAATGAAGAAGGCCACGTCTTTGAAGGAGGAGGAGAAGGGCTGCAGAGGAGGGGGAGAGGGAATGATCTCTTCACCTCGTCCAGGAGGTTTTAGGCCATCTTGGCCGTCTCTCGGAAGGGTTCCAGCCTCGGGGATCTTGCTTGCAGATGCGCCTCATTGAGGGCGTTCTGGGAGTGCCCGCATCGCCCCGAACGGCCGCCAGAGACTTGAGTTATGACCCCGGAAGCCCAGATTCCCGACGTCATGATTTGTTCATGACATCGACTTCCGGAATTGCCGATCAACTCCCCTCCATGGAACAAGTTTCTCATCCCGAGTCGTTTTTGGACGGTCCTGGGACCCGGTAGGGGCCCCAGATGCAAACAAAAACAAATAATCTTCCATCGCGATTTTTGTCACAACGCGAGGGGGGCGTCGTGCACAGTCACGGTGGGATTTGCCCTGCCGTTCTCGGCTTCCAGGGCCCCCTGGCCGGGACCCCAGGGCCATCAGAGGACAATCCAGACAGATCCCAGGGAATGGGGGGGGGGGAGAGGGAATGGGGGGGGGAGGAGGAGGAGGAGGAGGAGGAGGAGGAGGAGGAGGAGGAGGAGGAGGAGGAGGAGGAGGAGGAGGAGGAGGAGGAGGAGGAGGAGGAAGGGGGGAGGAGGGGGAGGAGCGCCAGTGCGTCATTCCTACTACTCTACAATGGTGTCCAATTCTGTTTTGACGTACCGACTGGAGACTCCTGTGTCGACCAGCTGTTCCAACCATTTTGTTTTTCCCGGCACTACTCTTTCACTAGACAAGCGCATTAATTGATCACCCAGCAAAAGCAACAGTTGGCCAGTTGACCACTCGACCGTCCTCCATGGCCGCAGCGCATGATGGATTGTACAGCACAGCAATAGCAACCGAGCGTCCCCGCTGCCAGCATCAGCAAGGCCCCATGGCAGGGCTTGCTGCGCACTACCTGCCCCGCCTTTGTCCATCCTCACCGTTACCCCGCCTCTGCCGCTAATCCTATTCATCCTGGCGGGATACAGAGGGGTGGTGGGTAAGAGACGGATCAAGCCGATGGCTGCCACGACAAGGTCCGTGGCGGCTGCAGGCAACCAGAACACACAGCCAGGCCACCGCGTGCGGGGTTCCCGACGGGCAGGGCGAGAGGCCCTCATGCGTTCCACAGCGGCTC